CCAGCTATTTGTCACCTATTTGTGAAAGAATGTTCTTATATTAGCAAGTAAGAAAATAATTCTAATTCTTCCCTGAACATATTCTAAAAATCTGGGACTGTATCACAAGTTCAGCTTTGGATGTGGAATTTTACTCCTTCCAAGGTTAAGTAACTCAGCTGATTGAAATGAATTGGGGATGGCAATGTCTGTGCACTGTGAAGTATCAGAGCGGAAAGAAAGAGGCCTGCCATTCCATTAGGTTTCAATTTGTATAAATCATTTCTTACAAGGTGGTGAGGGTGAACAATCGTTTAAAACAGCAATTTTAAGAGAAAATTACTTTGATCTTCTTCCAACTGTTAAGACGTAATTTTGACTTAGCAATGTGCTGTAAAGACTACATTTGTGTAGTTCAAGGTCATCTTTTGTTTCCTGAGCAAAAGCACTCAAAAACTGAAAGAGAATTGATAATTCTCTCCTTAAATAATTGCCTTGACTTTCCAAATAGAATCAGCAATTGTTTGTTTGAAAAAAAAAGATCTGCCTAAAGTTGCACTTTCTGAATCTAGAAATCCTCCCACATAAATCCAGTTGTAGGGTAAACCCTGGCTTCTTGGCAATAAGGTAAAAGCCCTCCTTAGATATTTAGAGAAGCTATTATCATGTCATGTTTCCAGCATGAGTGAAGCAGAATAAGTAGAAATTCTGAGTGAACTTCTCCATCTGTAGCCTAAATCTCAGAAGATACTAATTGTTGTCACTGATAGTTAATCCATTATTTCTAAAATTTGTCCCTTAATTGTAAACAGCAGCTGCAAGCTGATTTTGAAAGTTCCTTTAACTTATGTCCTACAATACATGAAATATGCCTGTATTCTATTAATAGGAGATCTCATTCCTAATCAAAGAATACTTCTGTGAAAGGGTTCAGAGTACTTTCTTTAGATCATGTATAAGATGTAGCTTATACAAGCTGAGTAAAGGTCACTGGAGAGTGGTCCTCCAGTGCTTTAGTGAACCTCCTTTTATTACCCTTCTGAAACTGCAAGAGCAGGGGATGATGACTGATATATAGCAGGCCACAAATATCGTTATTAGGCTGTGCAGACCTAACCTATCCATTTCAACCACTTCTGTTCCACATTCTTTGGCTCTGAGCCACAGCTGAGAGTGGTATAGCATTCATCTTCCATGACAGTGGTATAGCATTCATTGTCCCTGGCAGTCCATCTCACAAAATGAAATCATAGATGATAGTCTTGAAGGAGAATGACATGATGTACAGCTCAATGTTAGGCAACTAGATGTGCTTAAGCCTGTTAATTTCAACAGGATTTACACATGCCTCAGTCTGCAGTGGTTATAATTGTAAATCAATGATGTCAGAATGACTACTTTGGTGTACTCATAAGATCTCATGGTTAGTTTTTCAATGGAAAAGTGACTCATTTCCTACATTTTAGGAAAACCCAGGATTATAATCCCAATGCGTATGTTCAAATTGACTGTAAGTTGACAAACACTTAAGTCACCCTATCGTTCTCTGAAATGTCATAAAACTTTGCAGGTGTTTGGTTTAAAACATAACAGGAAAGTACCCTCAAGAATGAAGAGAGGGAACAATCCAGATTTCAGGTTTTGATTTTTATTTCAACATACTGCTTATCTGTAACTGTGGTTCTTAGAATACACATGCATCTGGCCTTCTCAATTGGGCAGAGACTCATTTGGGTATGTTCTATAGAAAAGTGTAGGAAAGAAATCTGCCCTACCCTAGCTGCACAATTTCAATGGAAGGTGTGTTCTGAACTCCCCTGTCAATTTCTGGAGACCACTATAGTAACTCTAGAAATCTATTTTTTAAAAAAATCCTATTAATGAAAATGGGCACAGGCAGAGGATAAGTTGTATAAATGCAGATTACTGCTTGAAGAGCCTGTCTGTGGAACAGATCACAAACTGCTCATGTGTAAATTCCAAGTCAAGCTAAAGCAGAAAAACAAAACCAACCAGTTTCTACAACATGATCTTGAGCATCATTTTCAAGGAGAACATTAGGGACTGCTTTGAAGTCCTGAACCTGGTTGATAGGCAAAGGGAGTAATGAAGTAAAAGAAGCTGGTAAGGATTAATATGAAAAGAGACTGCCAAAGACCAAGAAGCAAAAGAGAGCAAACTGAATGATAGAACAATTGTGGAAATTGCCAATAAGAGAAGAGAAGCCAAAGCCAAGAAAGACAAAGGTCTCAGGAAGGAACTTAACAAAAAATTCAGAAAGCTGTTAGAAGGAGAAAAGAAACAGTATTACAATGAAATCTGTAAACACACTGAAGATGGAAACAGACATGGAAAAACAAGGGAAATCTTCCAAAAGTTCTCTGAACTCAGGAGGGTCCAACCTCAAATTGGTATGCTAAAGGATGCCGATAGACAGATAGAATCATAGGGTTGGAAGAGACCTGGGAGGTCTTCTACTCCAACCGCCTGCTCACTGCAGGAATCCTCATATCAATCTGGACACATGGTTGCCTAATCTTTTCTTGAAAACGTCTAATGATGGAACCAGCTTCAGGAAGCAGGCTGTTACATTGCTTAATAGTTCTCAGAGTCAGGAAATTCCTTAGTTCAAGTTTGGATCTCTCACTGTAAAGCTTCCACCAACTGGTTGTTGTCTTACCCTCAGGTGCTGGGGAGAATAAATCCACACCCTCTGCTCTGTGACATCCCTTCATGTATTGGAAGACTGCTATCATGTTTCCCCTTTGCTTTTTCTTCTTTAAGTTAAACATACCACGTTCCTTTAACCACTCTGTAGGATTTAGCCTCCAAGCCCCATACTATCTTTGTTGCTCTTCTCTGCAATCTTTCTAGTTCCTCAGGATTCTTTTTATATCGTGACCAGAACTTGGCTGTATACTCTCCCTTTATTTATTCAAACTATATGTGGAACATATATTGAGGGAAGCTGGATTGGTTTCAAAATTGGTGGAAGAAACATCAATAATCTGTGCTGTGCTGATGACACTACTCTAGATAGCTGAAAATGCCAATGAGTTAGAAAATGAAAAAAATGGGACTAAGATTAAATATAAAGATGACCAAGCTAAAGACAACAGGTACAGCAACCAGCCTGAGAACTGACAATGAAGATACCATTGGGGTGGATGGTTTCTGCCTTTTACAATTGGCTATCAAAAGTAAAGGAACCAGAAGTCAAGAAATATACCACAGACCAGCACTTGATAGAGTAGCAATTGAGGCCTTGGAAAAAACATTCAGATGCCATGATGTGACTGTGTCTCTAAATATTAGAATTGTGCAGGCAATGGGTTTCCCTATGACACTCTATGGGAGCAGAAGTTAGACTTTGAAGAAGCAGGATAGAAAGTGTATTGATTCTTTTGCACTTTGTGGTTAGGGAAGATTCCCGAGAATACCATGGAGAGACAAGAAAACAAATTGATCATCAAACAAATCAACCCAAAGTTCTCACTTGAGGCACAAATGACCAGGCTCAAATTATCCTGCTTTGGACATATTATGCAAAGACCTAGCTCTCTGGAGAAGACTCTAATGCTGGGAAAGGTGGGAGGAAAGAGAAGAGAAAAACCAGCAGGAAGGTGGATAGATTCAGTTACAGAGGTGATGGGTGCACCATTAGAAAACCTGAAGGACTGGGTTGGGGACAGATCATCCTGGAGAAAATCTATGTGATTGCTAAGGATTGGTACTGACTTAATGGCACTTAATCATTATAAATCAACTATATTCTTAAATGTTGATGAACTCTGAGATCAAGTCCAGTGAATGAAGCAAAAGACAATATTGTCCCTTAAAATATGAAGTGAAGAATAAAAAACTATGGTTGCCATTCATAAGGTGGAGTCCAATATACAGAAGTTCATGTCTATTTGAACTTTCATATGCACTCTTGCTATTAGTGAAGTTGTAGGGCGAGTATAGAGCAAAGGCTTTGTCTCTTTATAGAGGTTTGCATCCCCCAGAGATCTGGCAAAGCCAAAGGAGGCCTGGAGTCATATGCTCTGCTTTCCAAAATTCATGTTGGCTTTGGCTGCACCAAAAGCACACTTATACACTGAGGGAAAAAAGGCAACAAACAAAACAAAACACTGTAAATGTCTATCCTCTTATTCCAGCTTTGGTTAATCATGCACATGTCTACTCAGAATTAAAGCCGGTTAAACTTAAGCTATTCTAAGTTACTTCCAAATTAAGTGTACGTACGATTGTATCCAGATAGAACAATACTAGTGACACTGGAGAAGGTCTGTGGAACACACACACCACTTTCAAAGCCTATGAAGTTGGTGTGGTCATAGGATAGACGGTAAGGGGCTTTTGCCAACTTGCTTTTTTTGGTATATCTGTCATTTTAACTAATATGTATGTGTGTTTGTGTATTCGCATACATAAACAAATATGCAGATACACACATACATACCTACACACACACACATTCTTCCATCTGACTTGTTTCAAAGGGAAGGATAATAACTACTCCAGCTCTGAGACTGATGTAATGTCTCTCTTTTGTCAATAGTGTGTTCAGTAGGAACATAAGAATTTAAATCTACTTAATTTAAGGCCTCCCCCAATCATCTTCTACAGCAGGAGAAGCAACTGTGAGTAACGCTGGCAGCCTTTCCACCACCATAATGAATAGGCTTCCAGCAATGGACTTATCTCTGCTTGAAATATCTGAGTTCTTACAGCACCTTTTCCAGATATATCTCCTCAGTTTGAATATACATGAGACCGACTCTTCTGTTATGTGGTATCTTCCTTAACACCTGACTAAAAATATCTGGCTATCAATCTTTACTAAACTGAGTAAGGCATTTGATTTTAAATCCACTAAGTACCATCTTAAGGTAGCAATACACAACCTTATTGAAATGATGATTCAAAGTGCATGTGCATTTGCATTATTATATATTCAATCTTAGATGAGCTGATACATTTATACTCCTTTCAAAATGTATAAATCATCTGTTTAATCAACACAGCCATACAGCAGTAACTTGTGTTCAAATCAGTGTTGACACAACTTCATGCTGAAAATGAACTATCCATCTTCTTCACTCTGCAACGAAGGTCTTGCCAGCAGTAAGTCTTCCAGTCTATATCTCAAAGCTGTGGCATTCTTTCTGCAAAAAAAATATTTACTAACAATTACTAGAGGAAGAAGAATAGAAAAATATTATATGAAACACTCCACTTTGAACAAAAATAGATTTTGTTTTCCAAAAGACTATAACGTTATTGCTATAAATTATTATAATTTAAAGGCTGCAAGCTATGAATGACAGGATAAAAATGCTCAAAACAAAACATATAGATAAGACATTTCACCTTTGACTGTAATTTAGATTGTAAGGATCTTACCCAGTTATCTCAGCAACAGAGCATACTAATACAGACATATATACCTAAACCTTGATGTCTTCCAGGAATGCATGTACCACCAGGATCCAGAACAGTTAATACTACTAAACAACTTTAATTATGCATCCAAGGTCAAATTCAATTGACATCTGGACTTTAAACTGACTTTGCAGTGCTAACCATTAGAGAAACAACAGTGTTACTGTGCTCTTGTGGAAAATAATGATATTAAGAATCCTGGGTGCAACATCATTTTTCTACATAGAAGTGATTCCTTATTTTCCAACTGTTCTGTGGGGGGTGGGGGGGGACAAATATGTCTGGCTGTAATATTACTGTGATGGCTTATCTTATAGCTTATGTGCACAATTTTTATAGCCTTCTTGCGTATTTTTTTAAACTACCTGAAATATACTAATGCCATCACCCCCCCACCTGCCCCCCCAAGATAAGACTGCTTAAGAAACTCACCTTGCCAACCATAACTACAAGCTGTATCTCTGTTCTGTTGAGTCACAGTGTGGGGATCTCCTCAAAGAGATGGACCTTCTTTCAAGGACATCATCAATCTCAAAATCAGTGGCTCCCTGCAAAATACTTGTTCCATTAACTTGGATCATTCATCGTGAACAGCAATGCTAAATGTTCCCAACTAAAAACAAATATATCAGCTGTTCTAGGAGAATTAAAACAGCTTATCATTACATGTTCAGGAAGAACTGATGGATGACTCTGTCCTCTGTACATTGTTGGTCAGAGTAACATTCTATTAATGTTCATTACAAGGATGTATCATTTTAGAGAGACAACAGCAAGTAATGTCACTCTAGGTTAACTCACATGGATCCGTACCTCCAACATAGAGCACTGGATACGAGTGCAAACAGCTTCTCTGATTTAAACAGAGCATAACAAGAGGATTATATAGGCGAGATAAAATATCTGTTCAATTTCTGAATAGAAAAGAGCTATGCAAAGTAGTGGGCACTCCAGTAGGAAGAAATATCTTTTATATTATAAGAACCAGCAGATTCACAAACACAAATTATGTGGATTAATCTACAGTGAGTGGCTGTACCATTGCAATAATTAAGTTAGCCTCAGTCGACAGACGTCTCATGAGCCTCTTTGGTACTATGGGTAGTGGTGTCATTTGACTATGGCGGGTTTTTTTGGTTATTGTTGTTTTTAGCAAACAACTTATGGAAAAATTCAAAGACATGAGTATTCTAAATAACCCTGTTCCAAGCTATCCATCTAGGAAACAAGAATCAGATTAACTTCTTGAGAAATATAGACCAACGAAATCCACAGTGAGCTCTAGCATCTGCTGCTTTTGCTGGCTGTTAGTTTATTCAAAGTCATCTCTCCCAAATGATTTTTGTTAAATTTAAATGGGAAAAAGTTGCAACCGACAGAATTCCAGCAATCCAGGTAAATCCTCTTTTAGGATACTCCATTCCCTCTTTCTTCTGATTTTCTAGTTTCTCTGCTGCAACAGAGTTACATTTGATGTACAGACGGCATGGGCTTTTTTGGGGGGGGGGGGTGTTGGTAGGAAAAGACATCTCTTCTTAGGATACTTCTCTCTTCATTTTTTAAATTCCCACAATCCTTTTATTTCTCCCCAAAAGCGCTTTGATATGACCCTCTGCATAGTTGATACAATTTTGGCTACTGAATATTCACATTCGAGGAATTCAGTTTGCCAACAGTATAGCATATAAATGCAACAAAGAAATAGCATTCACTAGCCAAATGGTTGGCAAAGTCTTAACAAACAGCTGCTTAATAAATTATACATGTAGGAAATCAGGACCCACCTCTCCCCCAATAGCTGATAATTTGAACAAACTCCCAAATAAAACTGAAATTAAAATTGTCCCTTGAAAGCTACCATCACCTGCCTGATCCAAATATATCACATACTCCATTCTTTCTGCTCCATATAAAGAGATGATGATGATGGATATGTACATAAAGCTAGGTAGAATCTTGTTTTTGATTTTTCATATGGAGGGAAATCTCCTCCTCCTCCTCCTTCTCCACCACTACCACAGCATTCAGCCACTGGAAGGCCGCCTGTATCTTACAATATGAAGGGATACAGCCCAGAGACAGATTTATCATCTCAGCAAAGGCCAATCTTGCCAAGGAGCAATTGCTCAACTTTTGAGAGGAGAACTGAAATGCAGTGCAGGGAGATAACATTACAATGTAATCAAAGTGGAAGATTAGCTTTCTTCACAACTTTTTCATCTTATTTTTGACAGTCAAAACTGGCAACTTGGGTGCCATTTGCTACTCTGCAAAATGTCTAAGAGTATCCCAGTTAAGCACATTGTACTCACAATGGAAAGTCTTTGCCTGGCCTCATCGGAGGTAAGCAGATTCCTCACTCTCTCATTAATCTCCTCCCAGCTGGAATTAGGGCTGGAGTATATCCTGAAAAACATCAGACTCATCAAATCACTCCGTACTAATGCTGTTGTCTAGGCAGATGATCCCATCAGAAAACACAAGAACTTCTATGTACTGGCATTTATAATGATTATCTGTGTATATTAACCCTAAAATCATTTATTTGTATATAAGATCTAATGCTATGTAATCCATTAAACTGAATCCACTGGACATATGTTCATGAATTGGATGGATTTTTTTTCTACATTATTCCCTTTTTTAAAAGTTAAGAACTAAAGATGTATGTAAGAGTTGCAAACAATGTATGAAATAGCTTAGAGACAGAGTCTGTTATCTGCAAGCAGAAGGTTTTGGTTCTACTGGTGGCACTGTCTGTTAAAAAAGGATCACATCCAATGATATGAAATTTCTCTCTTTGGCTGAACTGGAGTACTGCTGCCAGCCACTGGGCCAGTAGGACAAATGGATTAATTTATATGTCATGTACTTAAGGCAAATATAAGCACCTGTGGCCTACCTCAGAGCAGGTTAATAGAAGTCATCTTCTTATGACAAGGTAGGCAACCTGAGGCACTCAAGATATTGGATTCCATCTTGCATCACTCCTGTACCTTTCCTAAGTAATTTAATTACATTTTCTGGAAGAATACTAATGTCTACAAGTACAGTAAATCCTCTTATTGTGGACTGGATCTAGGGTGCATTTGCCAAAAGAATTGTTTATCAAAACGTTAACTTATTTAAATTGTTTATGTGTGTTATAGACATAAGAATTCCAAAAAGTAGTTTAATTTTCTCTTGTGAAAAAAGAGACACACAATGAAAGCTGCTATTTGAAGGATACATGAAGTCCAGGTGAATTCTTGGCAGCAGCTGTTCAGCTTTTACCCATAATTCTTTATCATTCTGTTATGGTGAAATGAATGCCTTCCAGGTTCTCCTCTATAAAATATCAGAATAATGACACTTTGTGGGCTAAAATTGCTTTAAACTATTAAACTAGCTGAACTATGCTAGGAACTGCTTTTTTTAAAAAAAAAATGGGGCTGTGTCTCCATGGAGCATAGGGTACATATGACTCCATCAAACCCTGTATTCAGAGTCCATTAGTAACAGATCTCCCTCACTTTTCACTACTAAATGTGACTGCAAAATATGTTCAACCTTTGTGTTCTGCAAATTGGGCTCACAGGTCACCAACACTTGAACAGTAAATGTCACTATTTTGCTGCGGAGATAAACTTTTACTAAAGTGCTGACTATGAACCTGAAGTACTTCTTTTACAAAGCAGTTCAAATATGTGAAATTCTCACAGATCTTTTTTTTTTCTTTTTGCTATTTATACCACAAGGTCAGAATTGTTTATGGGACTTGCCTAAATCTTAGCTCATATTTTTCTTAATCTTAGCTGATCAGCATCACTGCATAGTATCCTCTAGTCAGCAGGAGGGAAAAAAATGCAGAAGACTTTCACTTGGACTTTCACTTTAACTTGTCAATAGCAAAGTACTCCAGACATTGTCATCTTCCATCAAAGACTTCCATCAAAGATCTTACATTTAGTCATTGGCACATATTTAATTTTTTTTTCAATATTCCAATTTCCCCCTAACAAAAATCTCTGAGGCAGCTTGCAACAAAATTTTGATCTAAGTTTCACAGTGAGTATAAAAAATAATTATACCAATTTGCAACACTGACAAATTAAGTAAAAATATTAAAAATCCATCAGATATTGTCCAAGGGATTTGGCAAATAAAATCTATTAACTGGTCTGTAAAGAGATCCTGAACATCATCAGCATGGGAGCCAAGTCTTTAAAGACTTGACTGCTCTTCCAGGCCTTGGGGTAGGATCCTGGTGGAACCCTGTTTTCTGTTTTAACCCTATGTTTTCTGTTACAGTCAGTGTGCTTGTCCAGACTCATGGAATTTTCTTTTTCCGTTGTTTTCTGTTTTTAGTGTAAGCCATCTAGAGTTATTCAAGTCAGGTAGCCTCTAAACCTCATAAAATAAATGAATAATGAATTTGGTGGCTGAATTTCATGCTAGCTGATGTTTCCAAGGAGACTTCAAAAATAGCCTCAGTTATAGCATTCTGGATGACTCTAACATGAATGTTACTTTTAATTTTAACCTCAGCTTTCTGTACTTGTACTGCAGTGTGCACTATTAATCAACTTTATTTCTGCTGTTGAAGCAATCGTTTGATTGTTTTAATTTCTTGCCTATGTTTTCATCTGTACTATCTTAGCTGCTGTGTTGCTGCTACTATAGGGAGACTAATACATTTAAAAAATGAAATTGAAATTTTAAAAACCTTAAAGAGATTCTACTGGCAAATCAGCTGATTGCTGAAAGGTGTTTTCAGGACTAGAGAATATTGAAGCAGCTACACAGAAAGCTGGATCTGAATGCAATCAACAGGTGCAGAGCTGATCTTTCAAGGAGAGGTGAACAAGCAAGATATAATGCATCCAAAATACTACATACAAACTTCCTGATCAAGAGACCTGCTGCCCTGGCTGAACCAAACTTCAAATTACTGGCTCCAGTTGCAATTGCAATGGCTCCTTGACACCTCTCCCCATATCCTATGCAATGATAGGGAGAGAACAATAGGCCTCTTTCCTGGTGATAGAAGCTATCACCAGGCAGTGGCAATTTCAGGCTTCCTTGCCAGAGAAATGGAGCTCAGTTACTCTGTGATTGTTACTGATGCTGATGAAGGCAAGAAGCAGCAGCAACTAAAAGCTGCCAATACTTTCTGGCTGCAGGGACACGCTCTAGATATCTGGGCTGCTGATGCTACACTTAACATTTAATTATCTAAGAGTGGTAACCTGTGCTGGGGAGATGCCCATCTTCCACTAGGACTGTATGACCCATAATATTTTGGGGACGAACTTCTTTGGCAAAGACCAGAGCTGTTCCATGCATAGGTGGCAGCAGATGCCCTTGTTTCATGAGATGATGACTCACAGTCTGAACTATGGTCTTCAAATGGCTCTCTGATAACCTATGAAGAAGGGAAGAATTTTTCAACAGTTAGGAAGTCTGATGTAGCCTGATGTTTTTCAGACTACAATTCCCCCAAATCCCAATCAGCATTCTGGCAACTGTAGACTCCCAACACATCTAGAGGGGAACAAGATGGAGGAGACAGAGTCAGAACAAGGAAAATTGTGAAAAGAAAGAAAGAGATTGATGTCACCTAATAACTGTGGATGGAGTCAATGGAATCCCAGAACGAAGGCCTCCAAGGGGGAAGTGGGCAAATATAACTTCCTGATTTTCAGATATGTACCATAACATGTCCAGAATAAGTACAGAATAAGTAGAAAGTACACAGGCCAAGTTTACAATATCAGGGTGTATTGATGCTTCACCCCTTTCCTATTCTGAATTCTAGCGGATCATTGCAGCATGGTGGGGGAAGCTCACACAAAAGAAGGCATTTTTATAAACAAAGCCATAAAATAGAATAGATTTTCAAGTGATTCTGAATTCATCAATTAACTTATTAGCTATGTTTTTACAAACATCACCCCAAATGTTTACCTTAGCAGCTGGACATGCTGTTTTCCAGCTATCAAACGATAATGCTACAAGAAACAAAGAAACAAAAACATGCATTCTGATTAATGTAAATGTTTATAATGCATATATCATGTGTGGAAAGATAGCTTAGGAAAGATCACATGATAGTTTAGTATGGCTGGTTAGATCCATTTTCTGCAATACTTGGCATCCAGCCCTAACGAATAATCAGGTATAAACTAGAAATTCAGCAGTAGATCCTGGGTATATTTACTAGAAGTATATAATATAGAACAGGGTTACATCTTCCTGCTGAACTAAAACTTCTGGTTATTGCTTAGGAATAGAACAATCTATAGCGAACGATCTGGAGCTGGAGATTGAAGCCCAGCAGTTTGAGGAACGTCAGAGTATAGAGTTGGGCAACCTGGAACAAGTTAGATATAGATAGCACAAAAGTTGTCTATTTATCTGTGATATGCAGGGGTTCAGAATGACACAATGCCTGTTTCTCTGAAATTTAGCCTAGAGTAAGCGTATTTTTTTCCTAATCAATAGGAAAAAGTAACATGTTGAGCCCAACAAAGGAAATACTAATGCATGAAAGGTTTTGCTCCTTTGCCAGAGTTTTGAAAACAAACAATTGTGCTTTCAGGAAAAGAGACAACCTCACTTGTTTCCCTCTACCAGCAGTTGAGAAAATGATTTGGCAAGGAAGATCAAACTCCTGTGTCACACCTTACTTTGAAAACCAGAAAAAGAACTATATGTGATATTGATGCTTATGATTAGTTATTAGCTGGCTAAATGCCACTGTTTATTCACAACTGAGTAACTCAGAAGTGCTTCCATCATCTATAGCGCCTTCTACAGTAACATGCTGATTATACATTTACAGTATCTATTTATATTGACTTATTAAAGTATAAATTTATCTAATAAAATTTAATATTTTAAATCATTACAAAAATAGTATAAGGATGGAAGAGGAATGTAATTCCATGGACACCTAACCAGTGTCTAGGACAAAAGCGTGTCTCTGTTACAAACAATGATCTCTTTAAAGACAGATTTGGGTCAGGAGGAGAGTAGTTTCCCAGGTACAGAATACTATGATTTGAAAAAATCCCTGTACTGGAAGACTTCTAATGAACAATACTTGGCTCTCTTCCAGGACTACGTAACAACTGCACCCTTATTTCACTGATAATCTATTCCAGATTTCCTATATAATGTTATCTTGCAAGCTGCAACCTGTGTATATACAAACCAGAGAGAAGATTCAGAAAGATACAGGAACAAAACCTGATGCATGGGGAGCATTCTTCCTTAGCATGAACAGCATTATGGAGGATTTGTATTACGTGCCATGCTCTATCTTAATTTTTATGCCACTAACAAAGATGTCAACCCAACTTCTGACATAGAAAAGAAACAAGAGTACTAATGAGATCCACAGCTTTGCCTAAATCACAGATTTGGGTATCTTCTGGGTCATGGAGACTGTGAAGCAGGTCATCATTAATTTCAATTACTCAACTAGTCCAGCCATGGGGTTTGTGGTCTCCTATGCACATTACCAATAGCAATCTTTACTATAATTTTCAGAAACAGAGTCTTTTATTTACTAAATAAAATTAGAGGTGCTGTCTTTGCCCTAAAAGGACTCTCCTAATATATTTAGGATCTGAGTAGCCAGTGCATTGGAAAATGGTCACAAGGAGGACCTACATCAGTGGAGATCTGCAGAACATATTCATCAGAAGGAGTAAAGGTGACAAAATTCAGTCCACATGGCATTAAAATATGACCAGTCCCTATGTTACAAGAACATGAGCACACACAGAAACAATTCACATTTTAAATCAATGCATAATAAATGACCAAGTACCTCGTTTCAGTTGGTATTTGGGAGGATTTCTTGATGTGCTTGCACCCTGTCTTGCATTTTGATACAATAAGGGAGACTGGGCTTCTTCAGCAAATGCTTTAGAAGCATCAACCTAAAAATAATGAAGAAATAGTCTCAAGATGCAATTCTAAACAAAACAGAAATAACTGAAATAAAGTTTCAGGGGAGTGTGATACATTTATTATACATCCTCATTTGCCCCTAACATTCTTTAATACTTAGCTTTAATATCATTGCAGATTAAATATTAAAACAATTGGTTGATTTAAAAACCCTAATTAAATCAGAAAGTGTTGGAGATACTCAGAAAAAAAATCACCGAACAAGTGGGCTGCTCTAGACCCAACATTAAGATGTGTACAAGTTCAATGCAGGGATATCTGAGGTCTTTATATGGTCCACATCTGTTGTGTAGATAGGAAGGAATGTCATTCATTCATTCATTCATTCATTCATTCATTCATTCATTCATTCATTTTTCAATTTATTTTTCAGACTCCAATTTTTAATGGATTTCTTGGCTTAAAGTAACTGTATATTATGGCTGAAAACACTGTGATCCACTTATTCCCACTGCAAACTACCCAACTATGGCTGTTTCCTCATTGCTTACTGTTCCAGCTTGTTACTTTGGGTCACTATGCCCTATTGATTGTGATTACATTGTTTATTTATTCACAATTGCTTCAAAGAAGCAGCTCAGAGGAGGTTTTAATGCCTTTGGATGAATCAGTGCCCTGGCCTTGTCTCTTTCAAAATAGGGGGGAAGTGCAGAATGATGGCACAGGTCAATGCATCTAAGCTTCCGTGATCTAGACTCTATCCCATCTCCACATAGTGGGTGACATACACTTTTATTTTATCAAATGTAGAGACAGATCATTCACTTGTTATATCTAAACCTATACTGTATAAATAGACTCAAATGCATTAAGTCTATTATGTGGCTTGCTGTTAATCAAATCCTGGAATTTCTTGAGTATAGGAGAAATAGTTGTACTAACTGGGTTTGATGACATCCCTGAGAACAGTATTAGTTTGTTTATTATGACTGCAGAGGAAAGGGGCAATGATCACTGTGAACACTGAAACACTGGCTTTATGAAAACCTCTAAAGAAGAAAGAAATCAATATAACTGTGTCTGTAGGGGCAGGGAAGAAGCAAGAAAGGGAACATTAATTTTGGGAGGGGAAGAAAGGTGAAAATTATACCGGACAGTTTTTCTTGGAGAATGTTACAATCAGCTTCATCTGAAGATGATGGTGGTAGGTTTATACCACAATCCTACACACAGTTACCTGGACATAAATCTCCTTAAACTCAGTGGGAATCTCTTTGTAATAAATGTGCACTCTCCATCAGCAATTCTGACCAAACACTCTTACTAGGCAAGAATCCCCACTGATAGATGCGGATCTTACATCTGAGTAAAGGCACACTGGAAGTGTTTGTAGACATTTGAAAGCGTCTTTATGTCAGTAAGAAATTTTGTACTTTCCCAGTTTTTATTGTAACAGTGGGAAAAATGAAAGTCAGGACTAATTCATCTTGTGGCTGTATGCTAGTAAAAAGAATTGAGGGAAAGTGTATGTGTATATGTTTATATGTATGTATGTATGCATGCACATATGTACACACACACACACACACACACACACACTTTCAGTACAATGCAAAACACACATAGGAAATTGAGAGAAATCAAGGCTGTTTGCATGTTACCGGATGGAGCCTAGCATCAGGAAGAGGAAGAGTGTGCCCTTACAACTCCTATCTGACCTAGCTGTCATCATCAGTGGTAAGGATGATGGAAGGTGCAGTCCAGCAACAGAACCATATATTGTCAACCTGAAACTCTAGGATCTAACAACAGAAATAACATTCCGGTGTGCATTGAATATATACAGATAAAAAAATAGGATCTATTTAAATCAGCCTAATTTGAATTTTGAATCAGCCAAAGCCGGTGTGTGTGTTTTTTTAGAAAATATTATTATTTAGCCTTATTATAATCCTTTTGCTTTATTTAAAGCAAAGGTGTATTTCAAAAAAGGTATTATCTATGGATGAACAAGCAATTAATGAAGTTACACGGTTGTTAATCAATATAGCATTAGTAAAAGATTCCAAGCAGACCATATTTAATTTTTATGATATATAAAAAAGTATAATTGTTTAAGTTTAATGCCAAAATCTCCACTATATTATTGTTTATAAATGTTAAAAAAGGAGAAAAGGGAAAAAAGAAAGAAGAAATATGCCCTAAAAGTAGTATAGGTAAATATTTAACTTCTAACTTCCCCCTTCTTTGTGCTCCAACCAATTTGCAGTACCTGTTGGCATGAGCTTTAAAAACCATACTCCCGATGTATGTTCTTAATTGCCCAAACTAAAACCCACCATTCAATCAAAATTAATTGTTATGGAGTGAAGTGATAAGTTCTATCCATTTGTATTAGAGACTCTTTACATGGATCACCCAAAACAGAATATGCACATTTTTTTTGCACAGCATTATGTTTGTGAAGCTTTAATTTGAGAAAGGACTTTGAAAACTACCAAATAATGTCTAAATATTTCCTTCATATGTTGGGCACTTACATGCCTAACTACAAAAGGTGGCCGGTGGTCCACTTCTGGTTTGAACTTAACAGCTCTCAGGTTCAGGGAGGATGGCTGCTGGTGGTTATCTCTGCAGAGTTCATGGAGACGCCTTCTTGGGGTTGGGGATGGTGAGCGGGACTGTAATGACCTTGTAAGCCTCTTACAGCTCTGACTCCTTGTTGCCTTACATTGTGCTGGTGAGATGCTCCTTCTTTGGGGTGTTGTTGAAGCCACCCTTTGTAACCGGATTTGATTGCGATCCTGCAAAATATATCTAATTTGTAATCTCAAGAATTAGCTGGGAAGGCAATACATGATGATACAGGTAATATCACATTGGCGCCAGTTGCACGTGTGGCTGGGCTGCACCCTCAACACTTGAAAGAATCCTTCTGGGCAAGCCGAGAAACATGCTGGCTGGGGAATTCTGGTACTTGAAGCCCACACATCTTCAAGTGGCCAAAGTTGAGAAACTGCTCTAGGTCAACAATTTGCTCCATGCATAGCCTGTGAGATTTGCCCCGTTCGACAGAGAAACTCTCGTGACACGTGTGGTTCACAAAGAAGGTTTACTCATGCGTAACGTAGTAGT